CACTCCTCCCCCCCCCCCCCCCACATACATGTATTTGGTGCTTGCTGAAAATAATTTCATCCTTCCTTAAAGGCAATCCTTAAGTATATACCATATGTTTAAATAAGATGATGCTAATTCAGACTTACAATTGTTAAGAAGCTTTTGATAACATAACTACGATGCCTATTTTTGCCTTATAAACTCCACTAATTTAGCAAGTAAGTTGAGAAAATAACTATCAAGTCAAATGAGCTGGTTTCTGAGACGCCTGCGCAGTCCTGACACACATGCGCGTGCAAATGAGCGTGGGAAAAGGACTCATGGTTTGATAAAAGGTTTTCCTGTTCTAGTGCTGCCTCTCTCCAGGCAGTTTTCACAAATTCAAACTACAAAGTTTCTGTAGCTATGTCCAAGGCCAACAGAAATTACATTTAGGAGAGGACAGATATGTAAGTTGTTCTTAGTACTACTGTCAGAAGAACTCATCAATCTCTTAGACACAACAGTCAATTTCATAGTCTTTAGCTATTTGCTTGTTGCTATAAAATTTTATCTGACTTCATCTTTGACAATAATCCCTCTATATTTACAAGTTATTGCTGGTTCAAACATGTCTGGCAAACCATATGGCACTTGCTCTAATCCTTCAGCATCCAAGCTTCTCACTGCAGTAACAGCTGTACAACTGGAACCAGTCTGACTCTCATGGAATTGCACAGTAATGGAGGGGAAGTGCAGGGATACGGGAAAGACACAATCCAGCTCTATCTGCAGACTGCAAGACTGGTGGTAAAGAGCAGGAAGGATCATTCTGGGGAGAGGTAAAATACGTAAATTCAGGAGTTAACAATGGTTTTAAACAAATTTAGAAATTAACAATAGGAGGAACATCATCTGTAAGTATCTGTTTCAGTACTTTGATGTGATCCATATAAGAAAGGTTAGAACTACTACAGCTGGGACAAGAAACAAGGCATTTGTTTGCATTCTTATTTATTAATGAAAGTTGCTCGTACTGTAGTTCACCTGTTAAAAAAGAAGTTGTAGCATTAAATACCTGCTTGCCTTTGTAAGCACCCTAGCATCTGGTGGATAGCACTAGGAAATGACAGTCATTGCTGGCAGTATTTAACAGTATTCTTTGTAAAAGGACCCTTATAAAAAAACATAATAAAGGAAAAGACACACACCTGCGGGGTCAAACGGCAAGATTTCTCCCAACATCCCAAACACTCCATCAGTTTGGTCACGATTTGGCCATGTGTTGTTTCTAGGTCCTTGTGGTTTCTGTCCTAACATCTCTGACATCATATTGTCCATATAGCTGCTCACAAGACCCAAGCTGTACAAATCAGAGCTTAAATCTGAAAAACCAGGATTGTTCCACTGGTTCATATGAGACAATCCAGCTCCAACAGCTTGGGATGGCTGCTGTGAAGAATTAGTCAGCCATTTGGCAGGTACACGTTGCTGTGGTCCAATAGGTTGAAGCAAGTGTTGGTAATACTGCATTTGCTGCTGCTGCTTTTGTGACTGTTGCTGCTGTGACAAGCCTGGCTGAGAAGAATGCAGTGGCGTGTGAGAGACAGACTGTGGCTGCTGTTGTATTGTTCCTGATTTTTGTTCTGTTGCTGTAGAGGATGCAACAGAGTTCCTTCTTTTCACCATCGGAGAAGTCTGCTGGGATTTGCCCATGTTAAAACCAGACAAGAAATCTATAACATCCTGCATTTCTTGGTCAGTTGGTAAATTCATACCTTTGTCATCCTTGCCATCATCCGGTTTGAAGAAGTTGTCCCATCTTTCAACTAGAAACCCATTCACTAGCTGATTATTTGTGCTCTGAATTGACTGCAGTGGATCTGTGGTCCTAGGAAAACTACCAATGTTCAAAATGCTTTGTAACCGTGCGTCTATGTTAGTGGGCATTTTAGCTTTCTCCTCGGAGTTGGAACTTATGAAGACATTTTTGGAAGGTGTATTGGGGATTGAATAACTTCCAGTATTACTTGTACTGGTGCAGGAAGTTTTTTTTGTAAACCGTGAAGTCAGTTTTGAGAATGTCTTTTGTAGACCACCTGAAGATTTGCTTCCATTTCCAGATGGCATGTCAACTTGATTCCCAAAGTCTGAGATTTCACGCTGTAACTGGATCTGAATACAAGGCAAAGCTTGCTCCCTGCACCAACAAAAACACGTTTATCAAACCACCTAATACATAAACTGAGGTAGTACTTTGGAGGAAAATGTGTGTTTGGGTTAACAGATAGTGAAGAAACAAAACCAAAATCGCCAAGTTCATCATCTACTTTTTAACGTAACAATGCAAATTATTACTAGTATTTGCAATAGCATTAGCTACCTTCCATTCGTTAAGAAATTTTAATTGTGCTTCAAGACCTAATGTGATATAAATCAAGTATTCTTGTAGGAGAGAAACAAATACTTTTGTACACTTGGATAAGCTGATGATTTGTTTTTAAAAAGACTGCTGTATCTCTGTATGTACACACAAGGGACCTACATAGATTACCAATTTCTTGCTCTCAGTTTGACTTGTTTTCCCTTCTGATGAAGTGGGACTATCCAATTCCTCAGCACAGACCTTTCATCAATGGTGGCTTTGTTTAAACTAGAAAAGCAAAGCATGAGGCTCACTAGGAGATGTACCTTCCTTCCTTCCACCTGTGTATGTCAAACACAGCCGTATAGAGCACATCTACTAGTCCCAAAGTCTTCTCTGGATCCAAACTCCTCTGTAGCAAAGACATTGTGGCTGGATCTTCTTTCAGACACCTGTAATCATTAAGTTCAACTTAAAAATAAAAACTTACTTTTTACATTAAACAACTTTACCATACCAGTCAGATAATAGAAGGCCAACTGATGCACTAGTTCTGCTCCTACAGAGGTGCAACTAATAAAGGCAGCATAATGTATGAGTGCCTGAGGGTTCCTAAAGACTACGCCTGCAGACTCAGGTTCTTTCTACTGTTGAACATACAACTAATCTAACTGTAAAATTAAGAGTTAGATAATTTATTTTAAAATCATGATTAATGATTAGCTCTTTAGTTGAGTGGCCATAATTCAGGCACTGAGGTAAGAAATAACAAATACATAAAGCCCGTTTCTGGAAAATGGTAAGAGCACTCAACAAACCTCACACAAACCCTAGCGCATAGGTGCACTCCGGCATCCAGCGCTAAGACCCCCCCAGCCCGACAGACTCCATGTGGAAAATTATTCGGCATATCCAACGGTCTGGGGAAGATTTTACTGAGCTGTGAAGATGCAGAATTAGTTACTTTTTCTCATTAATAGCACAGAATTAGGAGTAAATTTGAGGTAAAATGAGAATAACATAAACCTAAATATTAGCACATCTATCAAGTACTTAACGAGCCCCTCCAGCAGAGCGGAGTAAGGAGGCACTCTCACTGTGTGTCAGCAGGCGGAGCTCTTCCAGAGCGTGCGAAGCCTGGCTCTAAACACTCTGCATTATTTTAGTTCTTTATGTAAAATGCTCTATTATGAAAGAGAATAGAGAAGTGACAGTTTATACTCTGCAGAGGAATGAAAGATGTATTTGGGTAACAGGCTATCAGTTGACTCGTACTTCTGGACATTGGTACCATTAGTAACAGGCTATCTCCCTAAGGATTCAGATGAATGAACTGTGTTGTACTGAAATTCTTAATGCTGGCTACTCTGAAGTTAAAAGAGGAAGGAAGTGTTCTAATTCCAAATCATTGTTTCGAAAGGGAGGAAATCCTCACCTAAAACTGCATATTAATTGTAACACTCTTTTCTATTCAGTCAACTGAACTGGTAGGAACAGCATCTCTCAGACCAGAGAGTTCTGCAGTTCGAGGAAGCACTTAAAGAACATCTCAATGAAGAAAGAGCTAAAGCTCTCGTAGCAATCTCATCTAATTCTTGGCCTTGCTGAGGTAACAGCTGTGAGGACCTGCTGGGGAAGAGCATAACACATACTACTGGATTTTTTTTTTTTTTTAAACCTTATCTTTCATCATCAAGCTTTTACTTTTTCTTTAAAAGTATGTCTTAGTGCCCCAGCACTGCCTCTCTTCTATTGCCTCCAACAGAGGCAGCACTAGTACAAAGACAGCTAAAGTACAACTGCCAGTCTGTCAGGAATGGTGGTATTCAAACAGTTCCAGATAAAGGAACTTAAGGAAGATAATGCCATAATTGCGTAGTATTCTCTCTTCCATTTGTACTGCAATATTTTTGCCTATACATTTCAGTCACAGCTATTACTATAAGCTATAACACAGTATTTTTATTTACCAAGTTGATGGAACTTGCACCACAATTCTGGATCCTTCTAAACTTATCTGAGGAGCATAGGCTTCTTTATTTTCAATCTGTGCTGTGTCCACAACCACCTAGCAAATAAAATGAAAATAAAAAGGGAAATTATTTTGAGTTCTAGTTATTTTATCAACCCCATAGTTAAGATGTGATAGTTTAACCTCCCTGCCATGCTACAGGTGCAAAAAATAACAGGATAAAAACAAATCAACTCAGATAATCATTACAAGTTGTTTTCTATTTTTATATTCTTTCTTTTTGTTTAGATATCAAGTGATTACGTTGATACAGTACCCTATATTTCAAGGACTTAATTCTTTGCAATTACATACTGTAGTTATGCATCACTAACTACCTAACAGCTAGTGGTTATCAATGGCCTTGTATAACAGCCCCTACATTTGAGAGGTTTCGCACTGTTACTACTTTAAATAGCACCCAAACACCTATTCATTGAAATATTTTAAATAATTTAACTGCAGTGCATGGTATGATACAGACAGGTAGTATTTAGTCTGAAACTCTTGAGATAGCTCACAATTCTTAACCCCCCCCCCCCTTTTAAGGTTATAAAATCCCACACCAAGCTTTCTCTACTCTACCTAATGGAACTGGACTGTTATTAATTCCCTATTATATAAAGAGAAGAAAAGTGGCTGTTTAATTTGTTGAAATCTGAGCTTTCTGTAAGACATCATGAAGATACATGGAAGAGGAATGCCTTGAAAATTAACCTTCTCTCATGAACCTTTCTTTTTATGGAGTTGAGAAGGAATGGATTCACCTAATACCAGTGATAGTGAGTTCAGTATTTGGTTGTGCTTTCTGTTGTTGTCCGGTCTGCATGGGATGGCCTTTTTGATCATTTCCATAATTTCCTATTTTGGTCATGCTGAACCAGCAGCTTTTTGGCAGCAGTCAGCAGTTCTTGCTTCAGTGACTAGCAGATTAGCTGTACCATTTATCCTTGAAATGGCAAAAGTCCTCCAGTATAAACAGGCCTCAAGGGATACTACTGGCTCTTTTGCAATCATCTGACACTGGTTCTACCTCTAACTGGTTGTCTACTAGTGGTTAGTGAAGAAACATGAAATATGAGTAATGCTGAGAGTCTCTTCTCTTGCTTTAACAAAACCATCCAATGACACTGGAAAACAATTATTTCTCACCTTTTAGATATTTTAGCATAGAATCTTAGTTTTTCTCCAGTTGACTCTAAGCATTTGCCCAAGTTAATTCGAACTTGTAAAACGTGTCTAAGCACAGTGACAAAACACCGTGCTATTAGTCACTCATTAAAATACCTCTCATTTAGTAAAAGGGCAACTCCATTACTCTTTTCCTTGTATTTGTACCATTTTAATTTTAAGTAATTTGGTAATGTTCAATTCAGTTTTATTGCAATGACAACTGGGATAAGGAGAGATGAACTTAGGAGTGATTTTTCTCAGCTCCCATGAAAAAATACTGTCTGCACCTCAGACCTGTAAATCAGAACTAAAATTCTGATTTGTGCAGACCTAGATCAGCTTCTGGTAGTGGTGCGTGGTAGTGCTCGTGGTCTGGGCTTTGTTGAGGGCGGGGAGGGGAGGTGCGTGTGTCCCTGTATCTTCCTTTTTTCCCTTTAAAAAAAGTTTTAGATTTCTCAACATTCAGTCAGAGTTACGACATCTGGGATTTAAATATTACTAGGAGATCTAGTGCTTCTGCAATGCATGTTGTTTTTTTGCTACAGAAAGATCTACTAGCATGAAAAAGGATGGCTAGAGACTCAGTTAAACCTTCTCTTCATGACTTTGCATGAGGCCAATTTGAAGTTTTGAAATAAAACTCATCCTCTATTTTAAAACATACATTACTTTTATTCAAACACAGAGATTTCTTCAGCTGACCCAAATCTGAAAATACAATTCTTAATATATATGCTAAAGTAAAAACTTAAAAACCACACTTTGAAAAATTATTTCTTATGTTAAAAAATATAAGCCTAAAATAAGCAAGCAAACTAAGTCACATCTCATTGTGCTTTCCACTCTTAATGAGTTTCTTCTTAAAAGGCACATGGCAAGACAGGCTAAAGACAGCAAGACTGTCAAGTAATGTTCATTTTTTAAATTTGGTATTTAAACAACAAATTTACACACAATTCTGAACTAATGCACACAGCTTATTTCTAAAAACAGTAAACCAAAGACTATGTAATATTGTCCCATGATTCATTTATGCGAGTTCTACACAAAATAAACTCAAAATAAACACATTCTCCCTCCCCGCCTGGTGGGTGCTTAGAGGATAGCTTCCTGTGCATCAGACATCTATTGTTCTTGTTTTACAGGTGTTTCCTCTCTCATCTCCACCCAAAGAATGCTTTAAAGAAGCAAATTACAATTTCTCGTCATTGCATGAGGCTACATGCAAGCATAATTGAATCCTGTAAAAAATTATGGCACACAGTTTATAAAGAAAAACCTCAACCCTCACACCCTTCCAAATTGTAACAAATCAAAGTGAGAATGAACCAAGCAGAGAAGGCTCGCAAGTATTTTGTCACATGTATAGCTCATTACTGTGTCTTTGAAGATGGAAACCTGCTACTTTCAGAACCTGAGGTACATGCAAAAATCTTTGGAGACATTCCTGATTCAACACAAGTAATATTCCTTATATCAGCACTGGCATTTGGGAGAATGTATAAATAAGTTTTATGCTGACAACTCTCCAAATGTTATGATAAACCTGAAGAATATCAGCGCTTTAATTACCAGCAGGTCGAACTAGTTATGTCTAGACTAGGGGGCACCAAGAGATTTCCAGACTCCTGAGTCCAAAAGTGCCTTGGGCCACTCCCCAGATCTCATCAGGGCAGGACCTGGGTGTGCACATCACTGAAACCCCCTGGACAGGAAATGGTGGGAGGTGCAGCATCCTCCAAGGCATTCCTCATCTAGACACTCAGGAGCCAAGAACTCCTCCTGAGTTATGGCACACTCCCATAGGGCTGCTGGGAAACATTTTCTTTCTTGGCCTCATTTCCCGTACCTTGCTGCTGACTCTCAGCATCCTGCCATGAACTAGGGCAGGTAAAGACACAATCCCACTTAACCATATCCTTTTTTTCTGGTTCTTCTTGTATTTATTAATATTTAATACATATTTTCCTTGAAAACACCTAAGTAGAAATTTCATCAATCCTACTATTCCACAGTTGCTTGCTCTTCCTGCAAAGACACCACCTTCTTAAGGCTCCCTGTAAAAATTCCTTATACGAAGTGGTTAATGCACTACCATCTCCTCTCCTTAAATCCCTGTATCACACTGAAGTAACGACTGGTAGCAGGTGCACTGCTGTTACGATATTAGTGGTCTGTCCCTTTGATTTTAGGCCTTCTTTATATGAAAAGTCAGTTGAATTCCAGTATGACTTGAACCTACTTCTCTAACAGATATTTAATATTAAGGGAATACCTAATATTTGATATTTAGTATCAAAGGAATGCTAAAGTACAAATATCTGACAAATTTATTATTTACAATTTATCATTCACCGTTACTGGAGAACCTATTCATGCTACCAAAAACTGTATGGTTTAATGAATGAGGATGGGAGGTCAAAGTCACGTAACTGGCTGTGTGATTTGTTTGAAAAATGTGATATCTACAAAGTATGTAGCAATATGGATCCGTTCACTAGAACTTACAATTAGTTACAAAGTCCTGACAGCTTGCCATCACCTCAAACAAAGAATCAGTATATGAATCAACAAGAAGCATTTAGCTTGTTGTAAGTTATTCTTTGAAACACCTCAGGCCACAGTGTACCTTTATGCGTGCATTTCCTTCCTACCCTATTGCATTCTTGCCCCCATTTTATTTGTCCAGTCAAATTAAAACTTGAAGTAGTCCAAAAAACTCAAGTGTCATGAACGAACACTCTGTTTAATGAAGAGATCGCAGTACTTGGTTACGGGAGCACAAATGCATTTTCTTATCAGACCATGTCTCAAGCATCTATTTTTAGCACCTGTTTACATACTGTAAAATCCATGTGGTTTATTTTTTTTTTCCGAAAGAACACATATGTCTATAGCAAGGTATTTAATTGCCCTGTCCTCTGTTGGAGGTATCAGGTAGCATTACTCAGTGCAGAGGACTTCCTGGTTTACGTTGGGCAGGAAACCCAGCCTCCATTCAAAGCAGAGAGGAAATGAAAAAAACTGAAGTTTTTAAAGCTAATCCGAGAGAACGGTGGGAAGGGGTGTTTCTTTTTAACATGGTCATCTATAGATTTGTGAATCTTTCTATTTCACTATGAATTAGAAGTTTCAATTCATGTGTTCTCTTTAATAACAGAAAGTGCGAGGTACACAGCACATTCTCCTGTTCCTGTCAACTACAGATAGCATCTATGAACTTGCATTCTATGAGGATATATTCTGTTCATACATCAAGTTAGCTGCAGCATTAAAAATGGAGAAACACAAAATAAGACACTGGAAATTAATTTCCAAACTCTTTTCAAATATCTAGTTTCTCTTCAGGATATTTGCTATGCCTATCCGTAGTCACTTACCAGCCCAGCTTGGCCAAACAACAATTGTACAGCAGTTTTGCAGGCTCCTCGCCAAGTGGAAGGGCAAACCTGATTTAGTACTTCAGTAACAGGAGAGTCATCCCGTGGTGTAAGTCCATTATGGCATCCAGCTTCCTTAATCAACTGTAGCATTGTGTGCTGAAAAAAATCATTAAAACTTTGTCATACCAAACACATGATTCAGAAGTGTTAACACCAATGCTTCCGTATGTATGTATCATTGTTCTACACATCTTTCAAACAACTATAACATCTGTTACCTCTGAACACTCATGTATTACTGGAAGAGCTCAACTGCAGAACAGAAATATGGAAGACTGTCTCTGCTGTTTGGAACACAATAATTCTCCAAAATCATGAACACTATTTTTGCATATATTCTTGCAAAATGGTTTAATTAAAAACGACAAAAAGCACTGCAGAGACAACAGAAAAGCAATGTTTTGAGCTGTAAATTGTTTCAACTATTTCAGGAACAAGGAACTGGGCTTATCTAAAAAAAAAGGTGAAAAAATTTATTAAAATTGCCCAAATTACTTTTGAATTGACATATTTTCCATTCCTTTATACTGAATATAGAATTAACTTTCCACAATTTTAAATTATTTTTAAAAATTATTAAAGTTTGTAAGAAGACATTAAAAGGAACTTTGTTACAAAATATTTTTTCCAAGTACCTCCCTTAGCACTAGAATGATCTGAGCCAGACTTATTTTGGCACCTAAGAAGATAAAAGCTCTGAAGTGCAGCACCTGTAAGTGCACTTTCCTCTGCACTTTTTGATATCTAACCCTCTTATTTTCAAAAAGTTCATAGAAGCTTCATTACCTCCCAGATTTCTGTACTTCTCTCAGATTGGGCCGAATTCGCCCAGGTAGTTAAAACACTATCAGAGGCAGGCGTGGACCTACACTGTTATCAACATCTTCTTTCCACAGGAAGCCAGGCTAAAAGTACGCACTTTTAAATACACATTTGGCATTGAACTTCTACTGCAGCTGTTCTCTGAATTTTAAGGAGATCTAATTTTTATTTTTTTTTCCACTCCCCTCCTGTGGTTAAGATTCAAGGTTATTACCGTTTTCAGCTTCAGGTTTTCTGCTGCAGACTCATTAAAGGATATTCCTTTCAGAAAATGCGATCCTATCTGAACAGGTACAGTGGGCAGCTCACACTGAATTGGCTGAGGTGGAGTCTGTCTCCTTCCTGTTTGCTGGGCTTCAGCTTCACTGCAACAGCCCTGAAATAAAAAAGAACAGATCAACTGGAAGAAATGAAGACATTAAAAAAATCCTAAAATGAGTCCAATTTTTTTTTTTAAGTTATTGTCAAGGTGAGGAGGGATGAAAGACAGAGCAGGTTTAGCAGATCCTACCTGAAGACTTGCTTCAATAGCTTTTGGGTTCAAGTGGAAGCCAGCCTTCATTGCATATTCACAATGGCCTAAACTCTCCAAAGCCACTTTGTAAGCCTGACATTAAACAAGAAGTTGAGATAGAACAGGCTTATCAGCAAGTTAGCATGCAGTCATCGTGTCTGGATACATAATAAGAATCGTTATGTGGACTTACCCTACTTGATTCTACAGCATATACGCATTTACAATAAGATTCCAATACTGTAATTCTCAAATACCTCGTAGCTGCCTGGGGTACGTATTTCCACAATACTATACACCTTCGCTGTTTCATTCCTTGGCCCGCTGACTGTACCACATGCACATGAAAAGAGCAGACCTTAAAAAAACTCACCTGCAAAGCACTGTCAATTTTCACGTTTAGCTCTTTGAGCTGATGTTCAGGAATTGCCACACTCTGCGAGCAGAAAAGTTGCTGAACTTCAATTCCTGCTAAACATCCGTCACAGCCTCTTTCTCGCAGTCGAGATGTGGCCTGTAATGTAAAACAAAAATCCAGGGTAAAGAGGTTCAACATTAAACCAGGTCAAGCTTAATTAAATTTAAAGAAAGACGAAAAAAACCTCACTGAGTTTAAAACATTATAAAAGAGATGAGAAGCAGCACCTGGCGGAAAGGATCGGAGAAGATTATTTATTACAATTTATTAGACCTCTACTGCTACTTTGAAAGTACAAATCTCACATAATATGCATGGCATATAGGTGTTGGCTAGCAACTTAATTCAACATTGTTTGCTGTTACTATTTTAGCTGCCTCTCAGGACTACGGATCCTGTTACACAGGCCACATGATGACTGTTGTAACCAGATGAGGGACTTATGACTTCAACATAAAGGATATTACTTGCCACAGAAACAGAAGACAGATTTAATCATGTGTACAAACACTCCTGTGTACATAAGATGATATACTTTACAAAATTAAGAGTGATTACTGTGGTGCGATTTGAGAAGAGCCACACAAGACTAAGATCAACTCAGCACAGTAAGAACAGGTTTATGTGATATGATTTTGAAAAATAAATATGGAAAGCCAAATATCTAGTTTTAACTGTAAAACAGCAAGTGGGGTGAAACAGATAGAAACCTACTCTCAACTGCATTTCAGGCCTCAGATACAGCTTATTTTTCAGTCTAGGAAGGAGTCTTGCTCTAAAGCAGGATGTCCAAACTGGGGATTTTTGGTGCCGCAGCCAATGGACAGACACATTGCTCACCTCATCAACACATACAGAATTACAGCATTTTCCAAGTGAAAAATCTTAAAAGGAAAAAGTTTTGAGCTAGTGAGAAAGTCTCATCTTAAACTTTATTCTGAAACAGCAGTGTATTCTCCTGCCAAAGAGGCTGATTTTATATGGAAATAATGCATTGCCTTCCGCTCCACAAAGTAAGAATTTGGAAAGATTTCAGTATTCCAAATCTCCCTTTTATCAAAATGACTTGTGTGTTAGTCTATCTACAATTATAACAGAGAGAGAAAGAGATTTTATTTATTTACAGAGCACAGATTTTTCTTATGCTATCCTAAAACTCCAGACAAATACTTCAGTAAATTTAGTCAATCATAAAAATTGAGAAGTTTCTTCTATTGTTATTCTGGAACTAGGGAGAATCTGTGTTTGTCTCTTCTCCTCCCCACGTATCTTTAATAATTAAAGGATTTGACTAGTCTAACATTTGTACTAAACTCTATTTCAAAATACAGGTTTTATTATACACAAATAGCTGAAGTGGGCTGTTAAGAAGGTAAAAAAGAAAGTTAAGGTCTTAGATTCTGCAAACCCAAGTTTAATTTTAACCACCTTTTAAACAAACTGATAGCAACTGCAGGGCATTTCTAGAAATTGTAACAGTTTTAAGGAACTAAGTATATTAAACATGAAATGAACTGGCTTTATGCAAAAGGAGTAGAGCTATACCAGGATTATACCTGTTACAATTATCTGTACTACACCTAAAGTACTCCCAAATCCTTATTTTATCCAGTGAAATAAATTTACGCTGCAGTAAAAATTACAAATAATTCCTCTGCATTCGTATTTTTAAAGGAAACCTCTTTGCTTTCATATACCTTGAAGATGTTGGTTGATAAACTGAAAAACTCTGACAAGATTTCCAGCCAAGATGATTAACATGCCCGCGTGGGCTGCCAAATTAGACTTCCAAAGCACACGCTCAAAGTTACCTGAATTTAAGGAAACCATGCACTCAGTGTCTGAATCCATTCTGATCTATCAGTCTGCAGACTTCAGTAGTGCAAGGGAAAGCACACAAGCTCATGAAACTAATTTTCTTTGTAAAGTACTTTTTGTTGTGAGGAAAAGTAAAGATTCCACAGATGGCAAGTGTTTGTGAAAATACAAGTCCAGAGAGCAGTACATTTAAGCAATATGATTAACATTCCAACAATGGACGGATCAAGCAACATCAAGCTTAACAGCATGAAGATGAAAGCATTAAAAGTTACTGTAAAGATTTTTAAGTATAAAATAGAATTCATCCTCAAAATTTGAGAGAAAGAGACATTATTTAAATTATAAAGACTTTGCTCTGTTTTTGCAAAGACTTGTATAGAGGTTGTTTTTTTTTTTTTAAATTCCCTCTGTCTGCCAAACATTGTTAATTCATTATTAATCAAAAAAAGCTGTTTCCACTGTTTGTGTACTCCTTATGTACAATCATACCACAAAGAAAATGTTACACAGGCAAAGATAGTATAATATATATATAGGTATATATATAGGTAAAACAAGCTTTAGCATCTGATACCAACTGCACCATGTTCCTCCCTCCAAATGTAGCATGCCTTTAAAAATCAGAGATTTCCTTCCTTTATTAGGGCATCCAGCCTGAATTTAGGTTTCACTAAACATAACTGGCATTTCACTAAATACAATGTCACCACAGCAAGACCTCCGTACCTCTGCTGCTCCTCTCCATGACCTTACTGCATCTTCTAGCTCATTTGTGGGGCTTAAATTTGAGGCTCCAGCCCCACTAACGTTCTTTCTCTCCTGAGCTACAGCTTCAGCAAAGCAAGAATGTGCCACTGGCTGGACCTTCTGCAAAGCTTGGGACAGGAACTGAAAGTGGACCTGCATCACCGTCAAGAAACATCGCCCAAGTACCTGCAGGAGAAGAAACAAACCAGTTTCAAGCAAATAGATTTCACAAAAGTTTCCCTTATTCCTTTTTTGTTCAGCATTTGGGGTAAGGAACTAAGTTAAACTCAGATCTTTCTCTATTAAAATAACACTTCAGGTAGTATCACATGATATTTAACCATTTACTTCAAAGAAGGTAAAGAGTGAGTGAGCACTGGTCTCTATGAATGAAGGGGAGATCAAACTGATCTCATGTCATTTTTACTTCTGCATTCCAGTTATGGTTATTTGAAGAATGAAAAGCTAGTTCAGTTACTCAGCAACACAGAGGACATGAAACAACACAAAAATGGGAGTAACATTAATTATTATCACAAGGACAAAGTCAACAACAAAACCCACTTGCACATAAACCTAGCAGAGTTTATGCTAAAAAAAAACCCAACAAAAATCAGAATAATTTAAAAACATTATTATAAAAATCAGAAAAGTTTAATCCCGTAGTTTATCTTCCAAGCAGAGAAATAACCAGTAATACACATCAAAAGCATTTTGCCACATAATACAGTGGCAACACAGTGCCATTTTGGGAATATGATAGTGCCTGCAGAATACACACACAAAGCTGCAGCCCTGTCACTTGCATTGTCTAACAGGAACTGCTAATGCTGGCACAAATCTTCTCTTCAGAATTTTTCACTGAAATGGGTCATGTAATACTCACTTGGAAGGCTGAGGAAAGGCAGGGAAGCGAAGGGCTGCTGGTTCCTCCCTGTACTTGCTAGGCTGAGAGCAGCACCAGCATCACCCCAGGGAAGCAGTGCCCACCTCTGCCAGCCGCAGCTGGGCTCCCAGTCCTGGACCTCTGCCCCCGCACCTTTCCATCCCCCATTTACCTCCCTCTCTCATACCGATGCTAATGAGAATCATGACCAAAGACAGACATACGCCTCAGTAACTATGAGCAAAACAGGTCACACAAATTGAGTATTCAGGGTGCAGCCACCACACGTGTAAGAGCAGACAGGAGCGCAGCCATCCAGAGGGATAACCTCGAGAGCAGAGCAGCACGAACAGGAATGCTTCCTCAGGGCCAGGCTCCCCTAAGCAGATGAAAGCTTACAACAAAGCGTAACAAGAACACAGCAGAGAAGCAAGAATTTTCCAAATTAGTGCAGAAAGTATTTAACAGCTATTTCAAGTGTTTTGTTTCTTTTACGGAGTTGGTCATACAAATGGTTTAAAATGTATATTTGACTTTGATTTATTAAAAAAGACTCAACTTGAATTCCATTTCAGGAATAATTCATAAAATACACAGATAATGTACAAAGCCATCGTGCCTTGGAGCAAATAAATCATCTGGCTTATTTTCAGCTACATTCTTCTGGAATAAAAATATTCAGACACAATGATCTTACTGGCAAGACTCTGCAGTCACACGATCAGTTATATGCATTAACTATCTATTTCAGAAGAACCAGAAGTGGCAATGCTTTTTTCCATTGCATCCGGACTCCTTTTGACATTCCATTCTGGTTCAATCACTTCCCTTCTTTGTACAAGGCATAAAATTAAACATTTTTGGTACTTTGACTGACCTCTGAAAGTGGAGTTTGCCTTATTAAAAAAAGCAGTCAGCAAATGATAAAATGAATAAAACTCCAACTTTCCTGGCTACAAGATTAGAAAGATTTATAAGAAAACTGCAGGAAAAGACAACTGGCGGTCTGGATATTTCTGTGTAAGAAGAATGCAGTTCTCAGGGGAAGAAGAAACTAGGACTCATGAGGAATTTCAAGCCAATTAAGTTTCAAAGAATATTTAAGGTACAGAGGTTGAAGTTTCCCCTGCCTGGGAATAATGCTCAAAATAAACAACTGATTCAGTTTTCAAGTGGCAGCACACAACATTCCTAGTATAATTTACAATGTTAAACCATAAAGATAAATAGTAACATCTGCTTTACTGAACTTCTATTTTGTTTGAAAAATAATGTTTCAGTCTTCCTCAGAAATGGGTAAGAAGGATTTTATTGAAGCAGTTAAAACCAAAGTGGTGGAGGATTTTTGCACCATTAAACACTCAATGCAGGTGCCAAACTCACTTTGAAGTTCACTTCTTGAGAATTTTCTTCCAAAGAGCTTAAACTCTGTCTTAACTGTGTGAAAGAAGTATGACCGCCACCAGTCTAACAAATACAGCCAGAGTTGGACAGCAGTGATCGAAGCGTGTAAAGCAATGTACTAAATCTCTGTTGCAAAATCTGCAGAACATTAACATATGGATCCATTTTACAGTTAAGAGACACCACATCTCTTTTTCAAGTTTATTTCTCCCTACCTTCCCTACGCAGAAGTGTTTGACTCTCCTGTTTTACACCGTAATAAGAACAAACTAAAACCTACAGACTAGGTAATAATCAAAGATGAACTGGAATCATAACAGATATCAACTAGTCAGGTTTTCTTGGTAGTGGTGGTGTTTTCTTAATCCATTTCTTTGAATAATTTATATTGAATATATGATGAGGTCTTTAGGTTGCAAACTTTTTGTCACAAGAAATCTCTCTCAGCAGCTGGATAACCTTACCTAAAGGAACCCGTCCAGCTGTTTAGGCAGCCGGAAGCAATGGGACTTTTTGGGGAGGTCTCACTTCATACTTCCTTGCCTCTGAAACAGGGGATGAGTTCAATCAAACTGGTTACATACAAACAGGAGCATCAGGTGGAGATGCGCTGTTAGGTCACTCTGTCCCACATTATCCTCCTAATGGGGGCACACAGTCAACTTTGGAGTATTTTGCTGGACAAAGTGCACAAATAAAATTGCCAGATTTCACCGCTGAACAGTAATGCCATGCAAATTCCCTGCCAAGCAAACCTTATCCAACAGATCCGTTAAAACAGAACACTACCACTAATAAAATTAGCAAATAACCAGTGTCAGTCTTCCAAATTTGATAAAAACACCAGCCAGCAGTTCCAAGTACCATTTTATGTGGTAGAATTTATTTCCTTTTTTTTTTCCTTTTTTTCTTTTTGCTATTTCCCTAAACAAACAAAACCCTCCAAAAACCAAAACACCGCAACACGCTTACTCAGTGGTTTCCTACCACCCTCATTTCCCTGAAGAGAGTTCTTAATGGTTTTTGTAACAATAAGCCCTGTGCACAACCTGTCTACCCACTGAAGAGACCAGATTAAAATAGCAATATAATGAGGTTACCAATGAGGTCTGACTCAAACTGGTGTGCCAGATGGGGAGATAACCCTCTTTCCCACATATTACTGAAAGCGGCAGAATATTATTCACTTTTACTAGGTAGAAATGCCATGCAGTTCCTAAGAGTGATCTCATGACCAGAACACCTCCAATGCTGCTCACTGAAAAAGCGTTACCTACAAGAGAAGCTAGATTCCAGCAGAAGTTGCACCTTTACATCTACAGTATCAGGAGACTCGGGCAACCTAACAGACTCATTTCTGCTAACAGTCAACCTAAAAGCCCTGAGAGCAGACCATGAGATTACAGACCAAGACAAGAGTACAATGTCATTCCAGCAAGCCATAGCATTTTCTACTGATTTGAAGCAGCTTTTTGCTACTAACAGCTCATCAACTCAGAAAAGTCTGAAGCCAATCCCTGCAAATCACAGGAAAGGCAACAACTTAAAAAAAAATATTGAACTTGGGCTTTACAATATTTGCTAAGGAAAGCCTACATTTTATATTTACTCAGACATTTTTGTCCCACAAGCTTCTTGTTCAAAAATCTTCAGTTATTTTATACACATAAAAGCCAAAAATTGTCTCAATTTAATATAAAACAGAGCATCCAAGTAAATATCCTATGCCCATTCATGCTTCCTTTTTTGTTTAGGAAGGCAACATGTACATCTCTGTCATTACTACCACTTTTGAGACAATACACGAGATCTGTGTACCTAAACCAAGGTTCATTCTTTGTATTTTGCAGTACTGAGGCTGCTGCAATGCTTCACAAAAGATGAGGAAATACACAAACTTTTTTCCACTCTTTTTTTTTGTCCCCACAGGATTTCCTTTAATGCTTTTATTAACAAAAGTACAGTTTTACTGCATTCTTCCAGCTTACAAAACTTTTAACAACAGATCTGTAAAACTTAACATAAAACACACTCTCATTCCCCCTGATTTCCAAGCAGTTCCTTACCCGTACAGACACAAAAATACCTGAGAATTCATAGTTTTCTGAAAGAGGAAAAGGAAAGACAGAAAATAAAAATCAGCATTTGCATTTCTGAAATTAGGAAACCTTGAAAAACTCCATCTGTCACCAACACTTTGATCAAGAGAAGTCACCTTCTTACACATCTTGGCAGACAGCTCTGAACTAGCAAGCTCTGTTCTGCTAAAAAAAACAATAAATAAATTAAAAACACACTGCTGCTACAGTCCAGGCTGCACCACCTTTTTTAGTCCTAATCCAAGCCAGTGTATGTTTATCAGAATTTGAAGTTTGCTTGATACTGCCTTCCCTGGGGCCTAGAGTCCGCTACACTAGATAAAAATGTGTGGCACCTTGGAAAAGCTCCTAAATTCCTCAAACCAAACCTGCCCTGCTTACATTCCTCATTCTTCCTCAAAACATACAGCCTTTCTTGAGGAAGGCTTAGGTAAAGTATGTTTTCCTTAGCTGGGCTCACACATAGAAAAAGCCTTATTCTCATGTACTTCGCATCAATTTGGGGTTCTGTCCTCCCACCCCACCATGAATTACAACTCACCTCCCCCTGCTTCCATAATACCAGGCTCCAACCCTCAAGTCAGAGGCTCTGGAGTACCTCTTCATAGAATATTGCTGAGCTGCCACTGCGACATTACACCATCTCTCAATTCTTTCTCAGACAGTTACAAGTTCTTTCAGTCATCTACTAGAAAAACTGCATTAGCAGCTTCAGATACGACTGTATTTCCCCTCTTATATTTTCCAAGGAAAAATTATGCTGCCTCTCACACTCTGAACTCTGATGAAGTCAGGCGAGGCCTTTATATTTTTCTGCTTCCATTTGAGTTTTTTAGTCCTGCTGGTAGTTTTATGAAATGTTAACTTTTCTGTAGATCAGGGTAAAAAAAAAAACAAACCACATTTTTTTAAATTAAAATTTCAGCATAAAGAGCTCAGTCTTCAGACCACAGAAAAGCAGAATAGAAGAGGCTCTCAAGAGGTCATCCTGGTGTCCCAAGCAAGGAGCAACTTCACCTGGACTGGTTTTGCTAGATGCAGGTTTAACCTGTTCTGTAAGTTCTTCATGATGGAGGCTCCCTACCCTTTGTAGCAATGCACGTCAGTGCTTCACTAACATTACAAAGTATTCTCACAGCATCTAATATGAATCTTTCCTTCTGAAATTAAAGTTCATTACTTCTTGCTCCACCTTCCATGGACATGAAGAACAGAACACTGCCACGTCTTCTGGCAGCTCCTTAGATACCTGAACAATTCTGATTTTCCTTCTCAGTCTTCTCTTCTGCAGAGTCAGTCTTTTGAATTTGTCCTCTGAAGTCCTCTTTCCTGGATGTCTGACTACCATTGCTCCTCTCCTCTGGTGTCTCTCCAGTTGCTCGCTGTTTCTCTAAGTGCGGCAGCAGTGGTGTGTGGGTGCACTGTTGTGTTTAAGGCCGTGATAACCAAAGTGAAGAGACTTGAATGCGTATTTCATGGTTCTTGCAGATTATAGTTGTGTTAAATCCATGACAGCTGCTTCTTTGCACAATAACAACAACACTGATTTACTGTTTTCCACCGCACAACACTGACTCCTACCCAACATACAACTACCATAAGCCCTAGAACTGTTCTTCAGAACTGCAGCCCAGTGGGCTCCACTTGTGAGGCTGAAAATTTCTATTTAAATACTGTAACATTCAGTTTTTTCCCCCGAATTCCATCCTAACCAGAAAACTAATTTGTTCAATTCAAGGTCATATTTAATTCATCAGGTCTTCCAGCATACTTATATCATGTACTTTCAAGTCACCTACAAACTTACGTATATTCTCTATACTGACCTCTGCCAAGGTCCATTTAAACAGTGAGCAACTGGTAACTGCTTCCTGGGTACAATTATTCAGCCAGCTTGTCCATATACTTAAGTCATCTAAACTATGCTCCCTGGCTGACTTAGGGAAAAAAAAAAAAAAAAAGTGAGCCCGTGTCAAATCCTTAAATTTTGCTGGTTCTTAAGCAAAAGCAGAATGCAATACTTGGCTGGCTACACAAAGTTCTCATAAATCTTGCATACTGGCTTCTTCTAAAGCTATGTGCAAGATGCAGTTTTAATTAAGAAAAGGTGTAAGAAAAGTACAGTGACAAGTGGCCAATTTCCACAAGCTGGTTTGCCTGCATTCTCTTTACATTTGCTCCTACCATGTATTGCTGCCTGGTGAAGAGAGCACTGCAGGTGCACGAGGAGCTCAGGAACAAGGGTAGCTCCACACAGGTAAAACAGGGACCAAAGCAAGTTTCTCTACCTTTGCTTTAAGCTGGCAGGACATGCAGCCAACGCAAACAATGCTTTGCTTCTGCTTGTGGACTCCACTCACTGCTGAAGCAGCACTCTCCCCACACAGAGTGTGGGGCAGGGTATGAATTAGCACCTAGAACTGCTTGTCTAGGTTATAAAAGCAGTATACAAATAGTTGCCAACATTTTGCAAGAGTTTCAAAGTCCACAAAAAAAAACCAAAACCAAACACAACTAGAAGACAGGTAGCCCTTTGTATGTTTTTGCCTTTTTTTTTTTAACTAAAAAAAAGTCTTTCAGCAGAGGTATTATCAAGGTCTCCAATTACATAAACCCACATTGATTTTTAAATTAAAAAAAGATATCTTTTCCTCCAGCTTAGCTAAACATAGTGATGTTACTGGATTGTTTTAAAAAGTACCAGTCTACAGAAGACATTTCTAATATATAGCTAACCCTCATTCTATAGTAAGCATACACACTGAAAACTGTCAGTCATATTTCTCACTACTATTGCGTACTACAAATAGCATTCTCTTTAACTACTGCACCCGTAAGTCATGCAGTTATAGAAAGCAGATAATGCTTGATAAGCATGTGTGTATAACATTCATCCTTACAAAGTTACCTGAAATCTAAATCAAAAACAAAAGAACTCAGAAATAAGTTTTCCACTCAGGATGGAATTCTGTAGGAATAACTCTGCAAGGACTGCTGTAAGGAAATACATTAAAACACAAAGAACTACTTAAACACAAGGGACTAATATGTGACTATCACTTAACACTGCCTGCTACATAATTAAGACATTTACTGCAAAAGAAATACCCAGAAATACCCAGCCAGGCACGATGAGAGTTGGGGATCCTCCCACAATTTCAAAACCTCTGACTGCTGGGCGCTCGCTGCCAGCACGTGGAAATTACAGCGAAGTTATGACAAAGTTTTACAGCACGAACCTCTTGTGCTAGCACGGTATTTTCCTTTTAAGCACAACAGCTCACAATGACAAAAGTGTTCTGAAGAGCAATAAAACATTTTACACAAATTTCGATCATTAGTCAACCAATGCAGTTTTACAGAAACACTGATGACCACATGCCACTCCCACGTGTTCAGGTTTCCCCTCAGAATGGATAATACTAAGTATAGGTTAATTTGGAATATGACATCTTGGTATCATTAGAAATATTAGCTAAGGTTAAAAAAATTATTTATTTAAAATTTTTATTTAGTTGGTTTGGAAGGATAGGGTGCTGGGGTTTGGTGGGGTTTTTTTTGCGTTATTATTATTATTATTTTTAAACTAAGCATAGCTTCCCCAAAGAAAGAGGTTGTTGGATTGCTGGTTGTAATTTTAAATCATATAGAAGATTATAATTGAGAATTATATAGGTAGTATAATTTAACTACCTAATTTTAACTACCTCAATTTTAACGCATCTTTCCTATTTCATTACATCTTTAAATAGAGTACAAGTTCTTATACAGAAATACCCACTCAATACCTAATTCAACATAGCTGGAAGTCAGGCACTGCAAATGACTTATTTCAAGAAGAAAACCTAAAAGGGAAGAGTTTCTCTTTTTACCAGCATCGCCCACAAATACAAAACAAGGCAGAGAGAACTTTTGGTGTAGAGTTGATTTTGAAGAGAAATCCAATTAAGAAGGAATGACACAAATTAACATGCTAAACAGTATCCCCCAAGGTAACTTACCTCAATGTCTTGTAGGCTGAACTCTTTTTGATCTTTAAAGTTTGCAGCTCCTGCACTCAGTTCCATCAGCATTTTTGCTATTTCTGGTTTTATTGCTGCTGTGAGTCGACTCGCTGCTTCCATGACATGTTCCTGCACGTCTTTCAGTTGCATAGCTGCCTTAGAATAGTGCGAGTTCCTAAATACACTGCTGAAAAGGTCTGTAAGGAAAGTGCTCGTACGGCAAAACACGTTGAGTGCATCCAGATATTTGGAGATTCCCTGCTGGATGTCTGCGATCGGAGTAGTGTGGGACACAGGGTGGTTGCAGCTGCCCGCAGCAGCCGAGGAGACCAAAGGGGATGCTGGGGTCGTAGATGCCAGCGGTGCGCTCAGGGTCCTGCCTAGCTCAGGCATTTGATACTGCTGGTGTTGCTGCACTTTTTGCTTGGACCCGCCAAGCAAAAAGCGCCGCTTATAGTCCATTTTGCTTTCTTGTGCACTACAGCAATACATAAGTGAGTGCTTGTCCGAAGATTTCTTGATCTAACAATCACTTGTCAAATTCCTTCCTCAAATATATAGTTATGTACAGTAACAGTGGAGGACTGTGTACATAGGTTTCACAAAAGGCATTTCAAAAGGCAAGCGTCTGTATAATCTGTATCAGCAGTGAGAAAGGCAGCAGACTTGCTGACTTCGTATTTTCAGTGTTCAGTGCAGCCCTGCTGCCGTTATAAACTGTACTCAAAAAGCAAGCTGAAGGATCTTATTAATGCTCTGTCTCTTGTTTGGTATTCCACTCTGCACAAAAGCAACGCTGGAGCAGAGAAGTTATCGCCTATGACTTCTTCATGAGCATATTATTGTCACTTGCTGTTAAGGATACAAAAGTTATTTTTGTCAATGCAAATAATAGTTTTAGAAGCAATACCTTAATACATTTTTCCCCATTAGTAATGTCAGGAAAAGTGGAGCAAACCACCGATCAACAGCGATTATAAAAGCAGTGCAGAGGCTCCTTCCTTGAAAAAGCAAATCCTTATGTCAGCAGATCAAATATCCTCAACATTCTTGACAGATCCAGTCTGCCAAATTAGTTTATTTGTAGTGTCTCTTCTTAATACTGGAGGGGACAAAAAAAATCTGGACTCTGTTTACAGAAGACTATGCAAGTCTTTTGCTAGTAAAAATTAGAGTGTTTATTATTGCAAGCCTTCTTCCTCCCCTTTCCTTGTTACTTGAGGTAGTTGTTTCCGTTGTAACATTAAGAAGTGCTGCTTCCAGACTGCGTTTGCCCTCAATTGTAGACTCAGAACAAAAATGCACAAATGTATTTGTAAGGCCTCTAGGTCATTTCCTGTGAAGGGGGAAAAAAAAAAAAAAGTTTAAAATGTTACGGAAAAGTGAGAAGGTTTGAGATTTTAACTCCTGCGCTGTCCTGGTATACTCCTCTCGGCATACGTTATCAACAATACCCAAGATCAAAAGGAAGGGAGAGCTGCACTGACAGTTTAAAAAGCAGTTACAAGTTGGTGTCATTCTGCTACTAAACTCTGAAACGCTGCTGAACATTTTCTTTTTCTCCCATCCTAGATTGTCAAATTTAAGACTATAGTTAATCCCCAGTGCAACCCCTTAGACAGTTAAGAACAGTGGAAGGCTATTAATGCAGAGCTCAGGGGGAGTTCATCATTATCTAACCTTATCCTTTTTAAATAATTTAATAATTAAATCAATTAAACCTTTTTTGTGCACCGTAATTTATTGCAGAAATCTGAGACTCCCATTCATTTTAATAATTTACTAAATCAACAGATACAGGTCCTTAAGGTTTTTTTACTACAACAGCAGGCAAATCTGTCTCTATCCTAACTGAGATTAGCTGAAAAATACCCCACACACATCCCATTTCAGGATGACGGACAGCATCTATCATACGCAATGTATTATATGAGGCAGAATTCCCTAACAGATTGTCCTAATAATGCCCTCATGAAAGCAGGGAGGAAACACAGCTTCTAGTACTGCCCTGCTCCTACTAGCAAACTCTGGTGCAGCTGGAGAGCCAAGAGCACTTTCTTGAAGGCACCTGTAGGAAGGTGAACAGCCTGAGCAGTGAGAAAGGGTCAGTTTGCAGCAGGAGACGTTCAAGGCAAGGCTGGAAGAACTGGAGCTTCTGGAAAAGGGCATGCAGATGTTTAAGCCCTTACCAGTCACCAAACACAGCTCTTAACTGGACAGGGCTTAGCATCTCCTGATCATTTTTACAGGTTGGAGTCATATCCATACAACGGCCAGAGTTACCCCAGGAGCTCATACACATATCTTTATATATACCTTTTATATAAACAGACACATATGTATTTATACACAAATATGTAACAAGTTTATTTTTAATGCACTATGAATTTACAGCTTGTTAATTAATCCCACCTCAGTCATCTTCCTTTCTTCTGTACCAGTCAGAACTGCATTGACCCAATTAACTCTTACCCCACCAGCTAGGTTGGGGTGGGAAAACCCATACTTGCATCCTCAACAGACTACTTTCTAGGGCGTTCCTCGCTTTGTGAGAGAAACTTTCTATTGCTTGAGACTGTAACAGATACTGATTAACAATGTCAGGACATTATCAGAAGGAAAGTATAATGTAGAGAAATACAATTTGTTCAATCAGTTTGTCTAGTCCTAGCTGTTGGTAACACTTTAGGCCACTCTCTCCCTCTTCTACACGCACACACATAACTTGATTTGATCAAGTAAGGACATTCTTTTCCTTACTGCAGCAACTGTGATGTAAAAGGCTAATATCAAACAGTAATTTGTATTTGTCTTTTTTTTTTTTTTCCCTGAGCACTTAAAAGAATAATTAGATATAAAAGACAGGAGCCCTTGAATTCAACAACAAAATATTTCTTCCACTATTATATTTGCGATATGAAACCTCTATTAATAGTCAAAATAAAGATTTTCTCTTCAGTCAAAATGTCTTATTTCCACTGTCTGAAGAAATAAGATACCAATTCATTCACATAATATGTTTTGACACATATATATGATACAAAAATCTCACAGCTGAAGAAGCAGGCAAGACAGCAGGACAATACAAGTTACAGAGCTGCAGTCTCACACCCACTAAAACAACAGACACAAGTTTTTCAGGAAGTCGTTGCTGCAGATGGTTCTGCTTCCAAGATCTAGAGCAAATATTCTTTCGCATTCCCACTTTTTAAAACATAACAGATAAAACACAGCAGAAATTCCCACATGCAGTACAGCATCCCTTATTAAAGTACTCCAAGCTGATTACTTGCCTTCCTAACTACTTTCTACTTCTCCCAATATTCACAATGAATGTGTCAAAATGCAATAAATCCATTAAAACCAGAATTTTCTAGGAGGCCTTGATATCATATGCATAGCTGAAAGTATTTTTCTCCTTGCTTTACAAGCTACGGTGCCTTACAGTGGAAAGCATGATTAAATTGGTTTTCTTGATTGCATATAAATGTAGATGGAACAAAAGAGTTGGCTAATTTATATGCATTGTAAAAGTAAATTGGTGATTGTTTTCCCTAAGTAGACATGAATTTCACATTGCAGAGGAACTTAAAAAAAATTATCACGAAACATCTAAATGTTAATTAGTGCCAAAAGTAGAAAAAGCTAAGAAGAAGGGGTTTTCAAGCTATACAGCACTGAATTAGACAAGCATATCAGAGATGCACTACAGTTCAGTGGTTCTGATTACACACTGAGCCTTTCAGGATCAAACTAAAACACTAATGATTTGAAACAGTCTGATATTTAGCTAATACATACAACTGCTCCATCCTAAAAGAATATAAATGCAACGAATAGGAAAAAAAAAGGTGTTTTCCTATTCTCTACAGCTGTAAACGAACATGATAAATCATTGTATTTTACTTCTAGACAATTTTGTAGCCAAACCTGCAGGTACTTATTCAATTCTTCAACTTCACTATTCCCTTGTAATAAAATCAACACAATAGCTTAAAGATGACAGCTTAGACCTTCAGCATCTAAAGAGATATTTATTCAGAGAACAGAAAACTACAGTTCTCAACACTTCTCAATGCCAGGCATGTGGGTACCGCTACATGTCTTACACTTTCTATAATGAGATCTCCAACATGCTACGTACAAAATAAACATTCTTCCTTCTGCATCCTTTCCTGAGAGTGAAGCGGAGAACGTTCCCACGCTCTCCCCTCCCCTCCCCAATGCTATGGTTCCCCCCCTGTTCTTGGTGCAGCGGAGAACGTTCCCACGCTCTCCCCTCCCTTCCCCAATGCTATGGTTCCCCCCCGTTCTTGGTGCGTGGACTAGAAGTGGGGGCTGCATATTGTAACTATATGAACTTTATGTCATTCTAACTCTTGCCATATTATCGAAAAAAAAAAAAGAAAAAAAACCAAAGTGTTTCATTCTAGTGATACAACAGCAGCACGTTATCAGTCCAACATTGGAAAAAAAAAAAAAAGAAAAAAACCAAAGTGTTTCATTCTAGTGACACAACAGCAGCACGTTATCAGTCCAAGACATAAGCATTAAGCTTGTACTTTTTGCAGAAAACAGAAATGTTCATGGAAATCAAGCTTAGAAATTAGGAAAAAAATTAACATGCTACAAATAAGGACATTTTATTCCTTCCTTTATGTAATCAAGACCCAAACAGCGTTGTTCATATACTATTAAACATTACAACTAGAATTAATATGTAGTATAAAAATAAGCTCAACACTGAACACTATCCTGTTGAAAGCTCCAAAACGCTACTGAAAAAGCTCACGACATTATGTTCTTGCCTTAAGGAGTTAATGCTATGGATAAGGAACTGCTACTAATTTGAACTATCTGAACTTCTACAGAGAATCAAGCAGACATCTGCATGAGTTGCTCTAAAAACAGCCACATTTGCATAGAGGAAACAGAAATCGCATGAAAATGAGTGCATATGCAAATCAAGATCACTATCCTTTTTTTAAATGTAACATCCAAAATTTTTTGCTTAGCTGCTTCCCAGAAAATCAAAAATATTTTCTCCAACTTCACTGATTGCAAGAGACGCTAATTAACATGGAAGACTTTCAGACAAGTGGAATTTGGCACCTCCCAGTTTTTGTTTTGGACCAGCAACAAGGGGTCTGATCCCCCATCCGTCCCATTCAGGATACCTTGCTAGAAGAGGAGGAAACTTCTTGCCTGAATCACACAACACAGGAAATTGAGCAGAGGAAGTAACAAGTAAACTGTACAAACCTATCACTGTTAGTTTAGTTACACAATTACCCATACTGTCAACTTCCTTTCCGCCAACTTCATTTACCATCTGTGTGAATATTTTGCAGTACATACTGGTTAAAAATTGTTTCATAAAAAAAAAAAAAAAAATTTCAAGCTTTAAAAAAGGTTCCGACCTCAATTTTAAAAACTGCTTGCAAAGGTGTTCTTTATGAATTCTGTTGTCCTTTCAGTGAACGTGCAATAGAACTTGTATGAGTAAGACAATCTAAAATACCTGAGCTAATTTTTTTGAAAGTAACACTCCCAATAGCGTACACTGGTTTTAATGTTATGAGCCAGAGATTCCAAATCTCAGGATGAACTTAACATGGCAAGCACTATTCACGTGAAACAATCAAACATGAAAGCAACGAAATTCAACTAA